ATGAAGTTCCCCCTAACAATGTTATCTCAGGAGATTCATCGAAACCAAGTTTCTCTTCGTATCTACATGATTATTCTTTATTTGTATGCGATACAACGTGATACAGGTTGAACTAGACAGAATAACCAGGAAATTTAGGCTTGCTTTTGGACGTGTCGGAAAAAGGATAATGACTTGCAGACTGGGAGTTGTGTCTTTGAGTCGTTGGTGCAAGTTTATTGGCTCTTGCCTTCTTCTTTTCAGGCACCGAAATGGCCCCACATGCCACTTCGACGCGGATGCTGACCGGCGTCTGGTGGTTCTTTGCGCTCATCATCATCTCCACATACACCGCCAACTTGGCGGCCTTCCTCACGGTGGAGAACATGAAGTCGCCCATCGAGAGCGCAGATGAGCTGGCAGCCCAGACGGAGATCAAATACGGCACTCTGAGCAGTGGGTCGAGCAAAGACTTCTTCCGAGTAGGTAGCCAAGAGGGTGGGACAGTCGCGGGGGTCGTGGTCCGAGTCCCGGTGCGGCTGGTTTGTCCGTGCACAGACTCAACATCTGTGCATTGAGGACGACGTGGAGGCAGGCATTGTCTGGCCTGTTCTGGGTGCTTATTTCAGAAATCTCCCGATGACTGGACCCTGAAGCAAGCGGAACTTGTCTCTTGTCTCTGGCTTGTCAGTCACCAAATCGGTTGACCCTTAGTCACTTCAGACCAAAACTGGTGCACGAAGACGTGTCCAATTCAGTTTGGCCCATTGGCGTGGCGCCATCGGCATTCCGACATACTCGAAAGCACATTCTGTCGTCTGGCCAGTCCTCTCGAGAATAGTCGTGGAGGAAGTTCATGAAATGATGGTAGGGATCGGGCCGATGCGACTCCGTGAAAGCGATTCCCATTTTGCCCAACCTCCGAAGACGCCAATGGCTCCATATGCGCCCAAAAGGTCAACGGTACCAGCCACACGAGTGCAAGCTAAATCAGTTTGGACGGTCGTCTCGAGGAGACGCCAACACGAAACGGGCGTCCAACTTCAAGGCGCGTTCAGCCTGATAGTTGATCTGATTCTGCTCCTGGATACCGTGAGGAACCGTAACTAGCCTCAGATTTGTCAGGCTCCGGGGCTAGATCGGATCTCAGATCAGAAATGATGCGATTTGGCACTTTTGCTTGGGAAAAGTTGCTTTGCAGCCGGGTTTAACTCGTATTTTGATGGAATTGGTCTATTACTCTCTATCTCTCTCTCCTTTTTGCTTGACTGAAGGCATGACGACAAATCTGATTACAAAGGATGCATGTAT